CGTTTCACAAGATGATGTGGTCGTGTATGGGCGCTTTGACTCGTCGTAGTTTGCACAGGATGAAGATTTAATAAACTATATAAGCGCGAATTCCAAAGGCAAAGTGTAAGACAAAGCGAATGTATCATGCCGTTTATTTACATTTTTGAACAATTGAACTTCTATACTTTTTAAAGTACGATGTGCTTCTAAATTTCGCGATCGAACAACATTTAGGTTCGCAAGGCATCTAAATGAATATGAACTGTATTGTTTATGTTCAGAAGCTTTATATTGAAGACTGGCACGTGAGCACCACGCAGGTGTCACGCGAAATTTATGACTTGCGAAATATATGAGTGTCGCTGTTCTGGGCATGCGCAAATGCGCGCATAAATTACATTCTGTTCATAAATTTCGCAACTTGTTTACCGTTCAACACGTATTCTCTGACTTGTCTCGAAGGAAGATTTTTCGAAGTTTTTTCTTTCCTAAATGGCTGCAAATTCAACAACTGAATCAGCTTGCTGTTCTGGCGTTAAAGCGAAGAAACCTGACTCGGAAATCAGTAAATATAAGGTATGTCATTGTCGTCCAAACTCTGTTTAGTTCGAATTCAAATGTTCGATGACTTCGATCTGATACCGATATTCGGACTGTTGTTTTAATGTAATTATTGTGATCATACTGATCATAACCAAGATATTACTGTTATTGATATTTATTAATTTGTCGTTGTTTTGGCCATGTATTAACACTATAAATTGAATGTCTTAGGCTTAAGTGGAAGAAGTGCTGCACTTCCTAAAATCAGGATGCCAGGAGCCTACTCATTTTGCCACTCTTGACAAAGTCGCAAGGAAAAAATATCCACATGCTGTCTCAATTCTCGAGAAACTTTGAATATGAAGGTATGTCTAGCCATTTAATAACTTCGCATTGACGCATCGCATCATAATAATATGTGATATGATCTTATAAATTTTATTATTGTTACTTGTTTTATAGCTCTTATTATTCATTTGGCTTTTATAGCTCTTATTATTCATTTAGCTTATATATTTACCCTTTATGTACACATTCAAAAGTGAATCTGAAAACTTACACACATGTCTACTAACTACTGTTTGGAATTTTTGTTGCAGTGCTGTTGGGAGAAATACAAGTGTGTGCAAAATTTGCAAGAAAGATGATGGTGAAGACTGGCTTGGGTGTGACCGGTGCTATCAATTCTTTCACGCCAGTTGCAGAAGTGTAAACTTCGCAACAGCACTTTCAGGAAAATTTTATTGCTAATGTGCAGCTAGGTGAAGTGATGCAAGGTGCAGATGTAAATATATGTAAATAAGATATAAATTCCAATGACGTAAATAATTTTGGTAGAACTGTTAAAATGATCTTGTCAGAAATTAAATGAAGCAATGTACCATTATACTTGAATTTTTGTGGTAGTATAATACCAACTATACTTTTTCAAATTCAATAATCAATAGTATTTTAGCGATTTAAATAGCCTTCAATGATGTTTTATCTGTCCTAGTGAATCTTTGTTTTACACGTTTCTCGATTAACTACCGAAACGTACTAAAATTTTGATCAAAATTAGCCAAAACCAAACAGTCGCACTCGGCCGCCGAAGTCATAGATTTCGCAATCGTCATGTTTTTCGCTCGAGTAAGCCGCGAAATTCGTGACTCGTCACGCGTGGTCATGTATTTCGCAATGGTCATAAATTTCGCTTGACACCGGAGTTAACGCCAGAACAGGCGTCTTGTTTAAAATAAGTTCTCAATACTTTACCTTGTCATTGATCTATATTGTATATGCTTATGATTCCAAAAGACAAAGGTTTGAAGGTTTTAAAGATCTTTCCTCCAAAACATTGTCTGGAATGAAATCATAAGCACATGCTGACAAAGGTATTCGATTTTCTCTTTCCCAAGTAGCTATAAACCAATAGAGTGAATAGACCTTTTCAGTTTGTATCCAAATTAACCTATTTCAAGTCACCATTGCATACAAGCTGAAAAGGTTTATTGGTTTATGGCTACTTGGGAGAGAGAAGAATACCTTTGTCAGCATGTGCTTATGATTCCAATCCAGACAAAGTTTTGGAAGAAAGATTTTAAAGCCTTCAAACCTTTGTCTTTTGGAATCATAAGCATATACAATATAGATCAATGTGAAGTATTGAAAACTTATTCTAAACAAGACGCCGTTCTGGCGTTAACTCCGGCGCACGTGCCAGTCTTCTGGACACTATACAGCTTCTGGACATAAACAATACAGTTCGCGTATTGTTTCGCATACATATTCGCATTTAGATGCCTTACGAACCTAAATGTTCGATCGCGAAATTCAGAAGCACATCGCAGTATAGAAGTTCAATTGTTCAAAAATGTAAATAAACCGCATGATACATTCGCTTCGTCTTACACTTTGCCTTTGGAATTCGCGCTTATATAGTTATATTAAATCTTTGATCCTGTGCAAACTACGCGACGTGTCAACGCGCCCATACACGACCACATCATCTTGTTAAACAGCGAAATAGCAGCGATATTATTAAAATAGGACCGGAATCTACATGTATTAAATATATTCTTACCCCAATTCATCTAAACTTATCGAACAGCATGAAAAGAACGGTTTATTTGTTCCTCTTGGAGGAATTGCCGTATCATGCGAGCGAAATCGAATCGCGCATTGGAAAATATAAAATTAGACAAAGGTCTTACCTGCAGGATAATTGTGATTCTCCGAGTATAATACGAAGCACCAAGGATTCATTATGCATTTTTCGCCACTATTCACCAGGCCATCACGGTTTAAAGTTCTTTGTTATGCAAATCGAGCCCTTCCCAACCGTCTTAATGAGCGGGCATACTCATAAAATTTGAAGGTGCGAGGGACATGAATCCTTGGTGCTTCGTATTATACTCGGAGAATCACAATTATCCTGCAGGTAAGACCTTTGTCTAATTTTATATTCTCCTTCGCATAATACTCCGCACTGCAGGATTCATTATGCATGTTTAAAGTGTGGCCTGAGCACCGAACAATTAATACACACGTACTCAAGAGAAGTGCAAGGCCATATTTAATTGGACACACACGCAGCAATCATTCCATTTCATGAACTAAGTATCGTTTTTGCATACACAGCGTCATCGCTTAAAGCTTTCTTGTAGAACTTACAAAAAGTTCCAGATCGTTTCCAATCTGCAGTTCGTAAGATGACGTCTATTGATACACCAAGTGCCTCTGCTTTCGAGGTAGAAGCAGATCTAAAACTATGCCCTTTGAATATATCGGTGTTGATTCCGGAAAAATCCAACGCCATTTTTAACCAGCGAGCAATTGTAGATGCGCAAACAATTTTATATGGTTTGCCAAACGAGAGAAATAACTTTGAAGTGTTCAAGGACTGTCTAGCTTCCGTAGTCTGGGCAATGTACGCCACAACGTAGAGTATACACACAACTTCTTGTTTTCAGGAAACGCGGGAAAGTGTACCACAAGGGAAGCTCTCCCCGGACGAGATGTCTTTAAAATGTCCGTTACACGAATTGAATTTCATCTTGCGTCTTAGTCATAGAATCAACGCTTAATACAGCCAAGGTTTGGCTGCGTTGAGCAGAAACAAGAGCCACCAGGGCCACAGTTTTGAGAGTCAAAAGTTTTAACGTTAAATCTTTAAGTGGATCCCATAATTCTAAGCACTTCAGCAATACATTAACGTCCCATGTAGTGGAATATTTTGGTTGGGGAGGACGTGTGACAAACATTCCTTTCAATAGTCGTACAATAACCGGGTGTTCCCCCAACAAGGCCCCGTCTACCGGGGGCAATATAGAAGATAACGCTGACCTGTATGAGTTCACTGTTGAATATGCCTTCTTCTGTACCTCGAACTGATCAGTTAGAAATTCACACACAACACCTAAAGACGCTTGAAGAGGATCTTCCTTCCTCGCACTACACCAGCTACAGAAACACTTCCATGCTGCGGAATACTGCTTTGCGGTGCCTGGACGCCAAGACTTGAGCACGTACTTGGCAGCCCTTTCTGAAAGTCCTCTACTTTGGAGTCTAGAGCTGAGACACGCCACGCGGCTAAGCGGATCGTTTGCCACAGAGGGTGCAACATGTCCTTGTTCCCAGGGTGTAATAACAGCTGTTTCCATTGAGGGAGTAGGAGCGGACGAGAGAATATCCGGTGTACCAACATTGGGTACCAATGAGCTGTTGGCCACCAGGGTGCTATTATTATTGCATCGGCAACTTGATCTCTTTTCATTTTCGTGAGCACTCTTCCTATTAGACTGAAAGGTGGAAAGAAATAAGGTTTAGTTCCTACCCAGTTAAGGGAAAAGGCATCCTCAGCCACTGCCCAGGGTCTGGTTGCCATGACGCGTAATCAGCTACTTGGTGATTCAGCCTTGAAGCAAACAAATCTATTCCCGGAGTAAAATACGATTGGCTTATCCACCGAAATACAGTTGGGTGTAATTTCCATTCCAAATTTTGCTGGTGACCCCTGGAAAGACTATCCGCTCGAATGTTAAGTCTTCCCGGGATATAGAAGGCCTCAATTACACAAGAACGATCAATGCACCATTGCCAAATTTGGGATGCAACTGAATGCAAATTAGGGCACGAACCACCCATGTTATTAATGTAAGCTACGGCTGATCCATTATCACAAAATACTTTAATGTAACAATAGGAAGTTAGGACAAAGCATTGCACGCCTAGCCAGATTGCGGTAAGCTCTAACCAATTAATATGTTGGGCTTTCTCCTCCTGGGACCATATCCCATTGGTAACTCCAACATCAGATACGGCACCCCAACCAGATAACGAGGCATCTGTTGTTAGCGTTATCACTTTAGTAGGTTTAATAAGTTTAGTGCCATTGTATAAACGGCTTTTATTAACAAACCAAGAAAGGTCCCGTTTCGCGAGAGATGACAATGGAACAACAGCGTCATATTTGACAATGGAACAACAGCGTCGAGATGACAATGGAACAACAGCGTCGAGTTTACAACATGGCGGGCGGTCAGCTTGAACGTAGCTCTGATATAAACAGAGGTAATATTCGTAATGACTGCGATTTTGATAAGATAAATGTATACATCACATCCAAACGAGTTATTTATGATGGAGAGCGAATCAAATGGTGCGACAATTACGAATCCTTGCAATTCAAGAAATACTTCAAATTTGGTTAAAATACGCACGATCGAGAACTTTAAACCCAATCGTAATTTACCTAATATTTTGAGTCTAAATGCTCGATCAATTTTGAAGAAAACTGATGAACTTTCGCATGTTATCGACAATAGAAAAACTGACATTGTGATGATTTCAGAAACGTGGTTATCCAATGACGTACCAGATGAAGCTGTGCACCTTCCTGGATTACCACAATTCAATGTACTTAGGAATGATAGAGAATATGGTAGAGGTGGCGGCGTAGCCTTTTTTATTAAAGACTCTATCCCAACAAAAGTTCGATATGATCTTTCTAGCGTGGATCATGAATGTTTATGGATCGTAATTCGCCCTAAATGGCTACCACGAACAATGTCAAAGATAGCATTAGCATGTGTATATCTTCCTCCATCGTTAAACTCCGATGAAATTGACAAATTCTACGACTATTTTTGTCATTGCTATGACACCCTAACTTCGGAAAGTCCAAATATAGCGATAATCGTCTCTGGGACTTTAACCCAAAAGGAAATGGCTTTCAAGAAAGAATAATCAAGAAGCAATGCCAATTAAAACAACTAGTTAAAGATCCTACACGAAGGAATGCAACACTAGACCTTGTATTCACCAACATACATCAATCTTATGAGAAGCCAACTGTTTTAGCCCCACTTGGAAATTCCGATCATTGCATGATTGAGTTGAAGTCTAAAGACTATACCCCCAAAGGTAATCAAACTAGAAAAGTCACCTGTCGCCCAATTCAGGAGTCTAGTGTTCATCTGTTTCATGAACTCATAACTCGACAAAGTTGGTCTTCGGTGTACGACTCGTGCAGTGTAAATTCCAAAGTGGAAGCGTTTCTAAATATCACCAATGATTTGATTACAAAGTGTTTTCCCATTAAAACGTTCAAACGTCATGAAAACGATAAACCCTTCATATCAGGAAGAATCAAGAGCATGATAATCAAGAGAGACAAACTGTATCAGCAAGGAAGAATGGTAGAATCTAGAGAAATGAGAAATAAAATTATATCGGAGATCCGTAAAGAAAAAAGTAAATTGTACAACGAAAGGATCAAGCCTCTACGCGTTCATGAACCGAAAGCATGGTGGAAAAACGTTAAAAAGATAGTGCGCAAAAAGAAGCAAGAATTTAGTCTTACCGATCCGGAAAGTGCTGCACCACTAAACTCCAGAGGAACTGCCGAACATATCAATAACTTTTTTACGAATCTTACTACCGGATTTTCTGTAGTTAATAATGAGTGGACTTCGATTGGAAATCGCCCTCTACCTAATATACCAGTTGATAGTGTGTTATCCAACCTAAGGAATCTTAACGTAAATAAAGCAGCGGGTCCCCACGACCCTGATGTCAGAATAATCAAGTATTTCGCTGAGCACTTTGCTTTCCCATTAGCTCATATTTTCAACGAATCATTTAAAGAACGTGTTTTTCCTGATATTTGGAAAATATCAAACGTATGTGCTATTCCTAAAACCAAACCTTGTTGTTCTGCTGATGAATTGAGACCAGTTGCCTTAACGAGTGTTTTATCCAAAATTCAAGAATCTTACGTTAACAGTTGGATCATCGAGGATGTTGGAGAAAAGATAAGTCGATGCCAGTATGGTGGGCTCCCTGGGTCATCAACAATTTATGCATTGTTGTTATTGATACACAAATGGCATATGGCTATGGATAATACTAAAAAAGTTATTCGCATCATCTTCCTTGACTTTCGAAGGCTTTTGATTTGATTGACCACAATAAACTGCTCGAGTCATTTCTCAATAATGGTGTTAGACCTGAACTAGTTGCTTGGCTTGCATCTTATCTACAAGGAAGATCCCAAATAACGTTTCAGGGGGAACGATCAAGTTTAAAGCGAATCAACGGTGGAGTGCCACAGGGAACCAAATTAGGGCCAATATCCTTTATCCTGAAAATTAATGACCTCCCGATGAAATCCAAACCCATCACATCTGAGGAACAAGATGTAACAATGTTTATGGATGACACCACCTCGTATGAAGTGATTGATGTATCATCCCATACATCGGGAAGTCCAATTGGAATCTCACAGGAATGGGTGGATAAAGTAATCCAATTTACCAGAGACGAGATGATGGAGTTGAACGGAGGAAAGTGTAAGGAAATGATTATTGATTTTAGAAAGAATAAAACAGATATACCGGCGATTAATATTGGCGGTTGTCAAGTAGCTCGAGTACTCTCCTATAAATTGCTTGGAGTATGGATTGATGATGATCTGAAATGGAGGACCAACACAGAATATATTGTAAAAAAGGCAACCAAGCGATTACATTTTTTAAAAATTTTGAGAAGGTATGGAGCACCTATTGAGGATCTTTTGATGTTCTACTGTACAGTTATTCGATCTGTTCTAGAGTACGGTATGCAGATATGGAGTGGTGGACTTACAAAGATGCAAAGGGATAATATAGAGAGAGTTTAAAGAAGGGCTCTTAACATTATTTATCCGGAGCATACTGGTTATAAGGATTATAGCAGCAAATTAACTGTGAGTAAATTGGAAACACTGGAAGAACGTAGAAATAAAGCATGTGTATTGTTGATTAAAGATTTGATTGACCCGAATCATCGGCTTCACGAATTGTTGCCAAAACAGGTGAAAAACGTTAGTGAAAAAGAAACGAGATTTAACAAAGATAAATTATATAATTACTTCTGTAGGACAGAACGTTGCAGACATAGTCCAATAGTCCATGCTATAGACTTATATAACTCATTTTTAGATAGGTAATTTTAGATGTACATAGTATAGCTTAAATTTTTATTGTAGAACGACAGAACGTCCAATAGTCCATGCTATAGACTTGTATAATTCATTTTTAGATAGGTAATTTTAGATGTACATAGTATAGCTTAAATTTTATTGTTGAACGTTGTAATTTAGCTTAAGCTATTGAACGTTTTTTATAAACCCACTTATAATAATAATAATAATAATAATAATATTCCCCACTGTGTTTACGCAAGGCTTCAATTTTAATAGCCTCCAAATTTCGATAATACAATTTGGCAGGTTTAATTGCCGGAAAAGTGGACACAATTAAACCAATGACGCTAGCTAGTTGTCTAATTGAACAAGTATTGCTAGTGTATAACTGAGAGACCTCTCTTATCAAATTTCCCAGTTTTTCTTCTGGGAGAAATAACGTCATAGTCACGGAGTTAATTTTAAACCCGAGGTATTGAATAATGTGAGAAGGAACGAGACTAGACTTTTCACGATTTATAAGGAAACCCAGAGATTCTAGGGTCCGTATCGCAGTCTGTACTTCCTCTATTGCCTTATCATGTGAAGGACTTAATATAGCCAAGTCGTCTAGGTAAATCACTATAGAAATACCCTTACTGCGGAGCTCTGCCACGATAGGCTTCATCACTTTAGTAAATACTCTGGGCGCTGAGGAAAGCCCAAACGGCAAACAAGTAAACTCGAATAAACAAGAATTCCATTCAAACCTGAGGAATTTTGTATGCTTATTATGAATAGGAATTGTAAAATACGCATCTTTTAAGTCAATCGTGGTCATATACTGACCAACTGACAATAAATCTACCAAATGATGTAGACTTTCCATTTTAAAATGATGATAAATAACAAACTCATTCAGTGGCTTTAAATTAATAACAGGGCGAAGCTCGCCACTCTTCTTGGGAATTACAAACAAGTTTGACAGAAACTGTCTTGGGTGAAAAGAAGCCTGTCGGATTGCTCCTTTGTCTAATAGCTTTTGAATTTCAATATCAATTGAATTTTTCTCAGCCAAGGAAAACCCTATTCTTCCAGGGATTTTCCGTTGAGTAGGTTCAGTCGTAAACTCAATTTTATAGCCATGCACAGCCTGTAAAATCCAAGTGTCATCTGTTAAACACTTCCACACATCGTAAAACTGGCGTAAACGGCCGCCTACCTTAGGATATATCTGATTCGTTACTGTTTGGTTGACGTCCCCAACTTTTTTGCTGCTACGGGCGAATGTGGCCTCCGAAAGGGAGGTTTCCGGTAGTCGTAGCGCTTGGAGTTTAAACGATCATTGCGACCATGATATCGGGGTTTCTTACTATCGCGAGGATACGATGAAGGACTGAAGTCCTGTCTTCGCTTATTGCTGACGCTCTTGGCAGCCATGCGCTTAACTTGCGAAATATTTCGGATATTCTGGGGCAGCTCGTCCCCAAAGAGCATCGTTGTTATAGGCTGCGATTCATGACATAATGATTTGTAAGCTAGCTGGCGCCACTTCAGATTTGAGAGATTCCCGTTTCTTCATTGAGAATTCGTAAACTGAATTACCAAGAAGTGTTAGAGCGTCGACAGCCAAATCGTAGATATCCGATACCGGGATAGTATCCTTTTTATCTTTCTTGGCGTTGACCACTTTATTGGTGAGCATAATTACCGGAATAACTCCTTTGATCAAATTCCTTTGAAACGCCTGAAATGAAACTTCCCGTGACTTGGTTTTATCTTGTAAATCGTCCCACAGTTCGGGATTGACTCTAGGAGCTTTTAAAAACTCACAATTCTCCGGTCGCAAGTATTTCCGTTGAATACTCTGAAATTGCTCTTTAGCAGGTTTCTTAGTACACGAGCTGTTAATACGTTTAGCAACGCCGTCGAGAACCTTAGGACCGCAGTCCTCAGAGTCCTTGAATAAATCGTCGTACGGCAACTCTGCCTCCTCGAGGCTTTTGCCGCTTGAGCCGTTGGTAAGACTCTCAGTCGGGTCGAAGACAGAATTTGTATCGGCTTGCGATTCTTCCTCAAGATCAAGGTCAATAGGATCCGCGTTGTTTGCTTCAGTTAACATTGCTATCTGGTTCGACATTCGCTCCATATTACGGAATAGGACATCAAATCTGGCATCATTAGAAAGCTCTGAATGAACAGGAGGATCATGTTCATCTGTATCAACGACCCCTTGAGGTTGTCTTTCCGTCATTGTAGTTTAGAAATCGATGAGCCTGGTTCTATGCACGCGAAAATAAGACGGTTGGGAAAGGCTCATTGTCGTTTATATAGGGCTCGATTTGCATAACAAAGAACTTTAAACCGTGATGGCCTGGTGAATAGTGGCGAAAAATGCATAATGAATCCTGCAGTGCGGAGTATTATGCGAAGGAGAATTAGCCAAAGCTGTGCACCACAACTCTTGGGAGATAAGACTGGGACGTAGATAAATACGGTCACAAACACGTTTTAAATACTAGTATATTTCGCGCCATTACACACTTGCGACGACGAAAAATAAAAAAAAAACAAAAGCAAAACAAAACCGGGGCGAATTTTCAACTCCGTCGCTGACGCCGGAGTAATTATCATGTTTGAATTGAAATGGCTAATGGACATGCATATTAGCCACTAGTTATTGTTGAATACTTGCCTATTTTAATCACCTTGCACATTTATACTTCCTTCCATCTATGTTATCAAACAGACGCAACGACCAGGTCGCATTGTTATGCAGTGTGGGACTTCTCCAACTTCTTGTAAGACAAGTTCTCCACTCAACGCTTCAACGCTCCTGTTTTTCATTTACCAAGAGATCGATCTTGCAATTTTTACATTTGCACCTACAAAAACATATTTATATTGATTGTGAAACAATAGGGTGAAATGTCAGTATATGTAGTGCTTTATATGTAATGATATAGTGCCTTTATATATTTCACTTACCAATCTGACACTGGGATAGTCCGGCTGTTTTGCGAATAAAAGAAGCTGCCTTCTTTCTTCATGTACACGTCCCTCTTTTAGTCTTCGTTATACTCACCACGGTCAGCAATCGGTTTGTCTTGTAAGGTTGATATAAACCGTCATGTGTAGGCGTACTGTCTCTTGAAGCAACAGTATCGCATCGTCTTCAAATTCCAATATTGGCAATACATAATCCGGGATGAATTAAATATCCGACTGAAAGTTGGCTGTCTAAGTTGTTGGAAAAACTTGACGACGTCGTTTTAGCGAAAAACGAACCAAAAACTCTATATACTACAAGATTTCGCACTTTTATATAGCCGCAATATTTCCATATTTCAAAGCGTGTTTCTTGTTTACAAAATTAGCGTGTTCTCCAATGTACGTCACTTCCGGTGACAAAGGGCAACTAGTTCCCACTCACAGCACCTCACGGTCAAACACGAAAAAAGCCAACTTTGAGGCCCGAAAAGTACATGAAGATCAAATTTTCGTCTCATCAAATATATTGAAATGTTCTTAAAATCGTCTAATCTATCTAAGTAGGTTATTTCCCTGAGGTTGATATAGGCACTTTAAAACTTTATTAAATCATATAGTTTCCTTTTTGCATGTCTCCATCCTGGAGTCACATGGGGGAGAGTGTCGGAAATTATGTAAATTAGGTGATTATGACGTGGACGTCATGTGAGTTAGGGATACTTTTGGAGGTTTTTTATTATTATTGTTATTGGTACTTGAGACTGAGGGGAGTAAACAAGAAATCTATAAAACTGTGTGATGTCAGACGTGTGATATTGGGACTTTAGTGTGGGTTTGGTCAAAGTGTTCCCCACAGCTTGAGTGAACACCTGATCTGAAGTTTTGTTTCAGTGTAATCAATATGAACTATTTAACTTGTTTTCGCTTTAGAAATGAATATCAGTCATTTAGCCGGTGGAGAGATTGGTACGTAATATATGTTTGCATTTTGCACATTTTATAGTTTTGCAATACTCTTGCTCTTCAAACCCTATTCTCAGATGTCTATGAAACTTATGAATTTGCAGATACCATGTTTGCTAAATGACGATGAATGGTGACAGCAAATGTTTATTATTGCTCATTCACTCACACAGGTGGGTATCCTTGTTAATCATAAATTATATTTTTAGAGTCTGAAAAAACAAAACCCAACGCAGCTATGAATAAGGATAACGGTTCGTATAAATAACTAAATTTGAAGTACTGTATGTTTTAATTTATATTTTTACTTTTTAGCATCTGAAAAAGATCTAAAAAATTTTGGATCAAACAAAGTTAAACTGCAGCAGCTTTTCCAGATTTATCAAGAATTTAATTATTTCTACCGCATGGGTAACCTAGTTATTTAACAATTATTGGATTAGGTTGAGTGTGATATCGAGAATTATCAAGCCGAAGTTTGCGTTATTCGCCGAAACGAAGCTGAGGAGGATACGCAAACTGAGGCTTGATAATTCTCGATATCATGAAAAAAAGCGAATTCAATAATTGTTTTATTATGTATTTCCTTTTTAGAGAGGAAGCCTGAGCCATTTTTGACAACAAACTAGCGGCAAAAAATTACGTCACCTACCAATAATTTTCAATGTCACGTAGGTGGCAAGACATTAAGAATTCTGTAGGTTTTTAGCCAATAACAATTGAGATTGCATTAGTAATGCATAATAATATACATTGTTTGCACCACTCCACACATTATTCTG